CTATTACTTCTTCAGTGACTTGTATATTCAGATAGTCATGCCCCTGATCTTGTGGTACTATATAGATCGATTCCATATCATTGGATTGAGGTACCATGAGTATCTCAGTTTCAGTGGTAGGTACTATGTCAGGAACGGATTCGACGGTTTCCTCCACTGCCACTTCCTCGCAAGCACCAATCACTTCTTCCTCTGATGCGACCAGTTGTGCCTCCAGGCCGCATATTACTTCCTCGTGGAGCTCTACGTCTCCTACCCATTGTAGATTCAAATCTCCGGCAACATCCATTTTATTTGGCCTTTAAATTATTTCATCACTGAAATCACAGGAAACATAAAAAAACAGTAAGAAAGCCTGCTTGCATGGCTCTAGAATGTCATTACATATAAATCGTACGATTGATCTCGCGAATTCAAGTCAGATGAATGGGACGCTAGATTCACAAACCTGTTGCAGCTACACGATCGACGAGAATTCATTTATTGTTCAATATTCGCAAATTGCACGTTTTTATTGCAAAATGGCTCGACATTACGAGAACTCACAAGGTGATTAAGGCGATCTGTCTCGAGATTACGATTCCACGCGAGTGATCCTCTGCGAATCGGAGGTTACATCATGCGGCGAGCCGCCATAAGGCAGTTTACGGCGTAGATACGTGAACGACGTTCGCGTATCCCTTCCGAGAAGCACAACGGGAACGCGTCATGATATTACGAGCAACATACTACGGCGAATAATTATCGGCAAACTGAGGTTCCCCTCTTCCTCCCCCCTCCACCGACCAAGTCTTCGTCGGTTACAAGACAAACGATAATCGCGTGGAATCAGCAGCGCGATCGGCCCAAACTCGGTCGATCGGCGTCGGGTCGTGTCTTGACACGGGTCTGAGGTTATAATTATATAGGTTATAGCGAGCGTTAGAGGTTATAATGAAAACAGAACGTGCTGCATTCCTCGTAACGTGGCGTCGACGAGGAATGACGGTGGCGTCGTGACGCCGGACGAGGAGTGTCGAGTGGCGCGACGAGCGGTAGTGGCGGCGACGATAACGACAACGGTATCAACGCTATCCAAGTGACGATGCTTAAGCCATCCGGCCGCGAACATCTAACTTCCAAGCAAGGCCGCCTTTCGCCTTTAAGAAGATCTTTTTCTCTCACTCACTCTCTCTTTCTCTCTCTTTCTCTTCCGTGAGAAAGTGAAACACACCGCGCGCGCGGAGCTCAAGCAGAGGCGCAGCGTCGCCGCGCGGACGACACGCCGAGCATAACCGGCGAGACGCGGACGTGGAAACGAACACAACGGCTACGGAACGGTTCTACTTACTATTTCGAAATCCTAGACGTAACAACGCAGTCCGTAACCTAACCAAAATGCGCTGAGTCCCCGATCACGACGAGCAGCGTCGACCTTCGCTTGTTTTCAATCCTGGTGGGGGATGCGCGTAGAAATAAAACGTGACAAAATGGCGGCTCATGCGCGCGCACGCGATTATGAGCGCTAGCATGAATTGTGCGTAGATAAGAAGGATGAGGGTGAACAGAGATATATAGGCATTATAATATGAGTATTTGTATCCGCCATTTTTAGTCTTTTTTTCACTCTCTTGCTCCTTTCCTCAATCCCTTGCTCTTTCTCCACTCTGTCGCTAAATCAAGAAGATTGAAAAGAGAACAAAGAGAGGGGAAAGGACTAAAAATGGTGGATGCGAACCTGTATTATAGTGCTCTATAGAAACCACAAGGCCTAGTGGCCTAGTTTATAAAATTTGATTGTTTCCAGTATTGTTATGCACAATAGGCACCTTGTATTCTTAGACCAATATTACATGCATCCGTTTTTTGTTGTATGACAAATTTTTCAAGTCTGATCAAAAACGCTAAATGAGTTCAGCTTTGACGTTCGACGCTCAATTCGAGCGTCAAACAGGTCACGTGATCAAAATTGGCCTAGTTTCCACCGAGGGTTTATACCGGATCAAAATATGAAGTTTAAATCCTTGGTGGAAACTAAGCCATTAATGTTTGATATTCGTCAATTTTTGACGCTAAAATGAGCGTCAAGCGTCAGTATGAAAAAGCAGCCTTATAGTTAATAATTCAGACTCAACTTTTGAGTCCGCTGAACGCAGCCATTGAAAGCCAGAACTAGGCGACTAAGATGGCGACTAAGATCAGTCCTTCACCCACGCTTAAGAGAGGAGGATGGTGGATTTCAGAGCTAGGTGTGGTGAGCAGGATTGAGTATGTATTAAATATAATTTAAATATAAAATATAAATATTATACATATATGTATTAGGCCGTGGTCCGATTTACGCTCACAACGCTTAAAAATCATTTCATCCTTGTTGTTTGTCAAATATTAAACGAAGACAAATGATGCTCATAAACGTTATCAACATAAATTGCACCACGGCCTTATATATAAGAAATTACTCTTAGCTCTAAATTGCTCAATCTGTGTTGAGTGTTTTTGAAATGAGATGAAAATTACAAAAGTGAGCAACGATTACTAGGTTTTGACTAATTCAATTATAAATATTTTAGTGTTTTTTTTTTTACTTTTGTAATTTTTATCTCATTTTAAGGCTACGTTCCAAAACTTCCTTTCCGAAGAAAATTTTACTTATAGGAAATATATAGTACACATAATACATATTATAATATATAGAGTAAAATCTTCCTCGGAAAGGAAGTTTTAGAACATAGCCCAAGATACATAATCGACTCTCTAGTGAGTTTCTTGATATAATTTAATAGAAAGTTACTAGTTAATACACGTAACAAGTGCTAGGTGGAAATGCTAGTTAGATTAGGCTTAAGGCTGATTTATTGTATATTTGTCGTACGATAAATTTTTCAAGCCTGCGATTGGCTACAGGATAAAGAAGTTATCGAATCTTCGCAGCCAATATTACATGCGTTCGTTTTTTGTTATATGTCAAATTTTTCAAGTCTGTTGATTGGCTACAGGACAAAGAGATCCGAGATCCTCTGTATTTTGTAGCAAATAACACGCTTGAAAAATTTGTTGTATGACAAATGTAATATTTGCCTAAAAGGAGCCAATGGGCGCGTTCAACTCGAGTTGAGTGAGTGCTTCCTGCTATTAATGTATTCTTCCAAGTCTAAACTGCTGATTGGATGATCTAAAAGAATAATAATAACACCAATAATAATAAGCGCTCACTCAACTATTGAGTTCGCCTTAGAGCATATAAACATGGAGGGAGCATTGTCGTTCAATTGTTTCCAAGATGCGTGTGAGAGAGAAAGATATATAAGAAAATGAGTGTAAAAAAGATGAATATATACTAGGAACATTCGTTCTCCCTGCGCATGCTTTAAAATGCTGATAATAATTATATTGTAACGTAACATATTATACTAACTATTGTATAATGGCCTAGTTTTCACCAAGCGTTTAAACTGGATCAGAATGTAAGAACCAATCAACTACAGTCCCGTTACAGTCGAACGACAGGGGAATGCTCAATTGTAGTTTAGAATGCTCAATGGAAACTAGGCCAGTGTCTGCATCGTTGACACATGGACGCATAGAGGACGAAAGTTCCATGTAATCTTTCTCTCTCACATGCATCTTGAACACACATTTGAGTCACAGGAGACATAGGCTCCTTCCATGTCTATATGCTCTAAGAAGTTCGCCGAATGCAGTCAATGGGCGCATTCAAATCGACAAAGTGACTAGGTCTGTTCGTTGAGCAATTAAATGATTGGTTGGATTCACAAATAAGAACCAATCATATTCATCCGCTCGATAAGTATACCTAGCCGCTTTGCTGTCTTAAACTCGCCCATTGGCATAGGTTCTAATTGGATAGAAAATGGCGGATCTAGTTCTTTGGCTTCTGCACACAGGACGTTTGCTGCGTGGTGGAAGTTGGTGCAATATCCAATCAACGCCTCGGTTGTTTGGAAATAATAGATATATAATTTCCATCGCGCGACAAAAGTTAAACTTAATCCACACATATCCATACAAACTTGTATTGCCGTATAAACGTATGCACAACGAAAATTATCTTATAGCGGAGAGCACAAACTCTTGCATAACGCATAACACATGAGGTATAAGAAATCGAACTAATCAGAGTTCTTTATTTCATAGAAAAAAAAAACGGAGAACTTCGATTGGTAGATTTTCTTATGCATAACGTGTATGCAAGAGTCTGTGCTTCCCGCTTATCAAATTTTACGTGCGTCTTTATAGGAGAAATGCGATTGGATAATTTTCTCTATGCATACGTTTATACGGTTATGTAAGTTGTGTGAATATATCTTTAGTGCATGTATTGGGTCATCTAAAAAGTATCCGCGGTTTTTTGTCACTAGATGTATGTTGATAGTCATATATCTAGTGACAAAGTACCGCGGATACTTTTTAGATGACCCAATATATAAAATATGGTAAGAATATGTTAATGTTTCATTATTGTCAAATATTCTATTATTTCCCGGGATATCATTTAATTCATTATTATTATTTTTTTCTGTGTATCAAACAATAACTTTACAAAAGAAAGAGACATATTTTATTATATGGACATATTTTATGTATATATTATATTTATATCGTACATAATTTTACATACATAATTTACATATACAATAATATGTATATATATATATATATACATATATATATTATACATATATATATATTATATTCACATATATGCATATATATATATATATATATACATATATATGTATATTCTTATATAAAAAATTTTTTATTGCGAACTGCTTTGATGTTTTCTTCTGCTTGGGCTATAATTATTAATTATATGCGCATTAATGATAGACAATTCAAAATATATCTTACAACAGGAAACGTTTTGTCATCTGTTATAATTTAATCGTGACTAAATGAGCGTCTTATTGTTTTTAAATAAAGGAGTGGGATATGTCTTATAAGTATGTAAAGTGCCAATTTAAGTTATGCATTTATGGTATAGCGTGTTTAGTTATCATGCACTGATACGCATCTATTACAAATACAATATTGTATCTTTTTTCGCTCGAAATTATAAATTTTGTGAATCGTTCAATATCGTTTTTACTATGGTAAGTATTTATATATTTTTTTTAAACACAATTTACTATTGTTACATAATTAAATCAATATTTGCAAATACAAATATAATATTATTAGCTATAATGGCTGCGAGTTCTATAAAACGTACGATGCGCATGATGTCTATTTTATCCTTATTTAACATTTGATGAGCAACAAGAATAAATAATGATATGTCGTGCGCATCATGCGCTTTACGCAACCAATAACATTAAATTTATAATATTACTACCTTAGAACACATGACGTAACCAAGAAACGTTAGAGTAAGCAAGAAACATTAGATAAACTTTGATAAATTTTGATAAATATTGATTTTATGTGAAATATTCATCAACATTTTAATATAATATTTTAGATAAATGTGATTATAATATTATCTAAATAATATGATATTTCTGATCTAAACATGCAACGGATATCCGGCCTCTATATGTTCGATCGATATTTTATAATCCGTGCGGCCATCAGAGTATCTATTATGTAACTTTTTTTCTAAAGCGGAAATGTGAAAGTGATTTTTATGTATTTTGATGTATGTAAGTATGTACATATACACACATACATACAAAAAATTTCATTTTTCATGTTTCCACCCTAAGGAAAAAGTTACATACTCGATATTATGGAATTATTCGGAATGGATTCCGATTGGAATTAATTTCAACTTGTTTCATGATAGGTGCTCCTTATCGGATCGTTCAACTATCTGGCCGGATTATGAAAAAGTCATTTTCTATAATTTGGATAGACATAATTATAATACATATTAAAAATTTAAATTTTTTAAATATTCTTTTATATGTACATTTGACCAATATATAAAAAAACTACATATTTTTTTATTAATATTTAAATATTAATTAATACATATAATATATAACAATATAACTTAAACAATTAGATTTTACTTTTTCAATCTCTTTGTTAAGGTTGAAATAATTTCTGGATAAAATTTGATTATCCAGTTTATCCGATTTTGCCAGATAAAATAGACGCTGTCAATAACTGTAATATACTGATGTAAAATGTCAGTTTTCTCTTCTGAACGCAGTCAATAACTATTTATATTATTAGATCCAATTAATGATGATGATTACAAATGTGCAACGTAATCTTAGTCTACAGATTTCACATTATCTCATTGCAACATATATAGAAATTTATATATTATAACAGCAAATAAAGATAAAAAAATAAAGATAACGATAGGAAGCAATATATCATTTCAAGACAATCTTGTAAAATGTTGTACGATCTGTTGTAAAGTCATGATTAAATGAACGTGTATTATTGTTGGAGAATAAAAGAGAGAATAAGTAAAATTAGCGTCAATATCATATTATTATATAATATTTGCTTACATATTATACCGCTGCATTACAGACTTTGCCATCACAAATATGATATTGCATTTTATATCGCTCGAGATTATAACTTTCGCCATTTTGTTATTATTCAATATCGAAGTACTACCGCTGCAATTGTACTACCTCAGTAAATATTTATACATTTGTTAAACACAAACTGCATTGTTTTACGTAATTTGAAACAATAATCGACATGTGCTTTAATTTTATATATCTCTTTTTGTCTTCTTCTCAAAAAACTTAATCTCTCTAAAAAAAATTATATATATATTTTTGCTAATTTATATTTGCAAATGCAAATATAAATTAGTTACATAATAATTAGATTAGATTCTCGTATTATCACTGTCTTGGATTATATGACATAATGTAATTTAAAGTGATCGGATTTAATTTTTATTTATAACTTAATGAACGGTGTATTACTGAATACATCCACTATGAAAAATCTTATTTATTTTAGATGTCTTTTACGGGAAAAGTTATTCTGATAACAGGAGCCAGTTCAGGAATTGGAGCTGAAACAGCTAAACACTTTGCTCAGCTTGGTGCATTGCTATCGATAACAGGGCGTAATAAACACAAAGTAGCCGAACAATGTGGACAACTTAAACCGTTTATTATCACAGGAGATTTAGCCAATGAGAATGATGTGAAAAATATTATCGACGATCAAGCATTATGGCAAATTAGATGTTTTAGTTAATAACGCTGCAATTGTAGAATTATGTAGTACAGAAACTCCAAGCTTAGAACAGTACAAGTATGTAATGATAAGTTATATATAGATAGTATGTATTATATAAACATGTATGAATATTGATAAAATCTATTTTATTTTGAAAACATACTGATATAACAAAAATGTGTTTTTTATGTAAATGTGTTTACAGTATTTTCAATGTAAATATTCGGTCAGTATTTCAATTGACTACACTAGCAGTGCCATATTTAATCAAAACGAAAGGCAACATTATAAATGTTTCAAGCGTGACTGGATTACGACCACTTAAGAATAATCTGCCATATTGCATGAGTAAGGCGGCTCTGGATCAATTTACGCGTTGCGTTGCTTTAGAATTGCATCACGACAGGTGCGTGTAAGGATAATGGCTGTTTTCTTTTTTCAACAATAGCAATAAATATTATTTTGAAAATACGATATAGGTGCGTGTGAATTCCGTAAATCCTGGCGCTGTACCAACAAATATCCTTCAGAATTCTGGACTGATCCAAGAACAAGTTAAAACCGTTTTCGAGCAATCGAAAGGGATGCATGCTTTAGAAAGAAATGGTGACACTTTGGAAATCGCAAAAACCATTGCATTTCTAGCAAGTGACGATGCTAGTTTTATTACAGGGGTGACAATGCTTGTAAATGAAGGTTGGCATGTTATGTCTGCTTAAATCTAGATGTTGCGAGGCAATAAAATGTACGCTCCAATGTAAAGAAATTTGGAGAAGTGCAAAATTGAAATAGATATAAGTAATTTTTAGAGTGTCCATGAACACTAAAACATACGTTTTCTGAAAATATTTTCAAAAGCTAAGATCAGAAAATGTAATTTTACATTCTAATAATTACACAATATATAATTATTACAAAAGAAAGTATAAAATATGTTTTATTAATATACCCATGACATCAAGATGAATACAAAAATAAAAGATAAAATTATTAAAACTAATGAAATTTTTCTTTTATTTTTTGATTGTTCATTCGTTGTGGGCTCATCGAAATTAAAAAATTAACGGATTAGTGTTAAGAACTTAGCAATCCTCTAATTGAAGCATGAAAGCAAATTCCAGTGTAGAGCGTCTAAGACAGCGTAAAGCTTCTATTGTCTTCTAAAAATCTTATATCATTTATCTAAATTTCTAATCAATACGTGGTATGTACATATTTTTTTATGTATATACATATATTAAAAGTATATATACCTATACATACTGGGTGAGGAAAAAATAGCAGGATCGAGATATATCTCGAAAAATATGTTTTATAAAAAAATTGTTTCAGATAAAGTTGTAAGGTTTAAAAAGATCTACCAGTCTTATCAGTTTAACCTTGGGTAACGTTGCCAAGATCGGGCTACATTTATTTTTAAATGGAAATCCCCATATTTTTGTAGCTTATTTTGAGAGCTCTTCAAAACACTAAATCAACATATTTTTTCATTATGTATTTTTCGAGTTATAAAACTTTAAAGTTACGCTCCCACTGGCGTTAGCATTATTCAAGGTGTCCGATCGACGATTAAAAACTTTTAAATGTTGTTCAGAATCATTAATTTACATTAACATTTGTTAAGATTATTTTTCTTTTTTTTTTGTTATTTTACGTAAAAATGAATTTTTAATGCAAACAACGGACTATAAATATCAATCATGAAGCAATGCTCGAGATGTCCCAAAATTCGTAACTCAAAATACTATAACAAGAAATTTTTAGAGAAATTAAGTTTCCGAAAAAAAGTTATTTGTATATTTTTATTTCAAGCATTAATTTTAGAGATGCAAGAGTTTAAATACGACCAATTACAAACTACGTTTAAATAGTCACTTGTGATTGTGCTGGATTACAATGTGTTCGCGAAATCATTGTAAAGTCGCAAAAGTGATTGCAATAGCCAGTCAGAAGCATCAACAGTTGATTGCCTACATAGATCTCGCATTAGTAAGCGCGTTGAAGTAGCTTTTTTTTAATTAATATTATTACATTCGCGACTCATGAACAGACCATCTAAATGTAGTCTATAATTGCAATGGCTATATTTAAAAAATTATTTAAAAAATCTTATTATTTAAAAAATTACTATTTGAAATAAAAATTTACAAATAATTTTTTACTTAATTTTTTTAAAACTTCCTTGCTACTGTATTTTCGTAATTTGAGACAATCTAAATATTAGCATTTTATAAGATATTATTTATTAAGAACCGAATATCAATTTATACATGCCACATCAAGTAGTTAATAATGACCAATGTTTCCGGATAGACAGACAGGCTAAATATAGCATGTTGCATCAATTGCGCTCTATTATTGATAAAATCAATAGCATATTGTCGCAATTCTTACAGCATCGAATATATTGGAAACATTCATGTCATATGAAAATTTGTTTATCTCTGTTATTAAACCCGATTAATGATGATGTGTAAACGTATTCTTATTCTACAAATATCTCACGGTATTCTATTATTTATTAGAATTTATATATGTACACAACATTTCGATTGCTGTTATGTAACCATATTTTTAAAAATATTGAAAAAAAAGGAGAAAGTGATATTATTTTCAAGGTAATTTTATCGTTTTTTAACGTAATTTATTATTTTATATAATTATATTCCGAAACAAATATCATTTCTTTCTTTTCCTTTTATTCTTTATTGATTTTATTGAATACAGATTTAATCATTAGAATATTATTTTTATAGTAATTTGTTGTTCTCTTTGGTTTTTGATGAAATATATTGAGAAGTAATAAATCAAAATCAAATTAATTCATTCTCAATAATGGAAGCTCAGAGTGATTCATCGTATAATTCCATATATATATATATATATATATATACTGTGTAATTACAAAAGAGAAAATTTTCTAAGCAGAACAGATTACGTGATAACGTCAAAATGATATTAAATGTATCATAATTGATCGAAAGGTAACTTAATCTTGACAATAATTGGAGCTATTTTATATTAATATGACTTTTTTAACTGCCTAAATAATAATAATTATTAATTATTATTTGCGAGGACAGATGATTTAAAATATGATAAAATGGGAAATGGTTATATATATACCGTTACAATACGGATTTCGTTCTTATAAATGTAATATTGCGTTTCGCTTGATGAAATTGTAAGTTTCGCCGTTTTGTGAACATTGTTCAGTATCATTTTTTATTCATTGTACTACCATAGTAAGTAATTCTACATTTATTAAACACAAATTTTTACACATTGTTTTACATTATTCCAAAGAATAACCGGTGTTTTAATTTTACATACTTTGATTTTTTTTTCTTTTCACAAAGTCTAATCTTTTTAAAAGGAACAATTTATATTTGCAAATACAAATATAGTTCCATTAGCTACATAATAATTACATTATATTCGTAATATTAGTGTCTTAGATTATATGACATAATGTAGCAATTTGATATGATCGGATTTAATTTACTTATGCTTGAGGAGTGGTGCGCTACTTGATCCAGTCTGAAGAATCTTATATATTTTAGATGTCTTTTGCGGGAAAAGTTGTTCTGATAACAGGGGCCAGTTCAGGAATTGGAGCTGAAACAGCTATTCACTTTGCTCAACTTGGTGCATCATTGTCGATAACAGGACGTAATAAACACAATTTAGAAAAGGTAGCCGAACAATGTGGACAACCTAAACCGTTTAGTGTAACGGGAGATCTAGCCAATGAGAATGATGTGAAAAATATTATCGACTCGACGATCAAGCATTACGGCAAAATAGATGTTTTAGTTAATAACGCTGCAATTACAGAATTCGGTAGTATAGAAACTGCAAGCTTAGAACAGTATGACAAGTATGTAATAATAAGTTGATAGTATGTATAAACATGTATGAATATTGATAAATTCTGTTTTATTTTGAAAACATACTGATATAACAAAAACGTGTGTTTTATGTAAATGTGTTTACAGTATTTTCAAAGTAAATGTTCGATCAGTACTTCAATTGACTACACTAGCAGTGCCACATTTAATCAAAACGAAAGGCAACATTGTAAATGTTTCAAGCGTGGCTGGATTAAGACCACTGAAGAATAATCTGTCATATTGCATGAGCAAGGCGGCTCTGGATCAATTTACGCGTTGCGTTGCTTTAGAATTGGCATCACGACAGGTGCGTGTAAGGATAATGGCTGTTTTTTTTTTCAACAATAGCAATAAATATTATTTTGAAAATATGATATAGGTGCGTGTGAATTCCGTAAATCCTGGTGCTGTATCAACAAATATCCTTCGGAACACTGGACTAACCCAAGAACAGATTAAAATCTTGTTGGAGCAGTTGAAAGAAGGGCATGCTTTAGGAAGAATCGGCGACACTTTGGAAATCGCAAAAACTATTGCATTTCTAGCAAGTGACGATGCTAGTTTTATGACAGGGGTGACAATGCCTGTAGATGGAGGTTGGCATGCTACGTCTGCTCAATCGAATCTAAATATTACCAGGCAATAAAATGTACACTCCAACATACAGAAAAATTTGGAGAAGCAAAATTTAAATAGATACAAGTAATCTTTAGAGTGTCCACGAACACTAAAAAATTCGTTTTCCCGAAATATTTTCAAAAGCTAAGATAAGAAAATATACATTCTCATAATTATACAATATATTATTACGAAAGAAAGGATGAAATAAATGTTTTATTAATATATCCATGATATCAAGATGAATATAAAAATAAAAGATAAAATTATTAAAATTAGTGAAATTTTTCTTTTATTTTTTGGTTATTCGTTCATTGTAGTGGGCTCAAATTTACAAAATTATCGGATTTGTGTTATAGAAATTTAGTGATCTTCTAATTGAGACTCGAAAGCAAATTTCAGTGTAGGGCGTCTAAGACCGTAACGCTTTCAAGTCTTAGATATAAAAATCTTTTTATCTTTTTATCTTTTTATCTAAACTTCTAAACAATACATATTTTTTTATGTATATATTATGTATGTCATATATATACATACACATGTACATATATATATATATAGAAAAGAATACCAGGCTTCCGAAATAATGTCGAAAAATATAAGTTTCATGAAACATTGTTTTAGATAATAATTGTAGGATTTAAAGAGGTCTGTCTATCGGTCTTATCAGTTTGATCTTGGCGTCGCCAAGGTTACGACAAGATCACATCTATTTTTTAAAATGGAAATCCCAATTTTTGCTTATTTTTGTAGCTTATTTTGAGAGTTTTTCAAAATACTGTATCATCATATGTTTTCATTAAGTATTTTTCGAGTTATGAGGCTTGAATGCCATAGTACCACTGTCGTTATCATTATCTAAGGTTACCCAATCGATGATTAAAATCTTTTGAATGTTGTTCAGAATCATGACCTGGATATAAACATTTGTTAAGATCAAGGCCATTGGAGATTCCTCTTATTCTTCATTTTTCATAAAAATGGAATTTTAATGCAAAATATATAACGAACTACATATATATCAGCCATAAAGCTGCAATACATATGAAATATTTCAAAATTTGTAACTCAAAATACTGTAGCAAGAAATTTTTCGAAAAATAAAATTTCTGAAAAAGAATTATTTGTATATTTTTATTTCAAGTATTAGTTTTAGAGATACAAACGATATTTAAATACGATCAATTACAAACTACGTTTAAAGAATCACTTATGAGTGATTATGCTGATTCACAATGCGTTCGCGAAATCGTTTTAAAGTCGCAAGAGTGATTGCAACACTCAATCAAAAGCATCAATAGTTGATTCTGATTGCCTGCCGCATAGATCTCGCATTTGCGAGCTTGCTGAAGGACTTTTTTTTTAATTAATATTATTACAAGTGACTCATCAGAGACAGAAGATAGCCATCTAAACATAATCGACAATTACAATAGCCATGTTTAAATTCTTATCATTTAAAAAATTACTACTTAAAATAAAAATTTATAAATAATATTTTACTTAATTTTTTAGAATTTTGTGAAATTTGAGACAACCTATATATTAGCGTTTCATAAGATACTTATTAAGTCAATCTCAAGAATATAATAAGAATCGATTATGAATACCGACTTATACATGTTACGTCAAGTAGTTAATAACTACCAATGTTTTCGGATAGACAGACAGGCTAAGGATATAACATGCTGCATTAATTACGCTTTCTGAACTACTTGAATAATAATTATTATCAATTATATGCAAGTATAAAATGTATATGTATATGTTGCAACAGGAAATGTTTTGCGATCTGTTACAAAGTCATGACTTATTAAAACTGATATCATTCCGGAATAGAAGGGTGGGACAGATATAAATATGTAAACTAGCGCTGTCACATTATCATACAGTGTTTGCTTATATATATATGCCGTTATATTATGGATTTCACTCTCATAAATGTAATATTGCGCTTCGTATCGCTTGATGAGATTATAAGTTTCACCGTTTTGTAAACATCATTCAATATTGTTGTACTATCACAGTAAGTAATTGTACATTTGATAAACACAAACCACTATTGTTGTACATAATTCGAAAAGATAACTGGTCTTAATTCTATTTTTTTTTCTTTTCTTTTCACAAAACCTAATTCCTTTAAAAGGAACAATTTATATTTGCAAATGCAAATATAGTTCCATTAACTACATAATAATTACATTAGATAGTAATATTAGTGTCTTAGATTATATGACGTAATGTAGCAGTTTAATATGATCGGATTTAATTTACTTATGGATGCTTGAGCGATGCGCTACTTGATACATCCAGTCTGAAGAATCTTATCTATTTTAGATGTCTTTTGCGGGAAAAGTTGTTCTGATAACAGGGGCCAGTTCAGGAATTGGAGCTGAAACAGCTATTCACTTTGCTCAACTTGGTGCATCATTGTCGATAACAGGACGTAATAAACACAATTTAGAAAAGGTAGCCGAACAATGTGGAAAATCCAAGCCGTTTATTGTAACTGGAGATTTAGCCAATGAGAATGATGTGAAAAATATTATCGACTCGACGATCAAGCATTATGGCAAATTAGATGTTTTAGTTAATAACGCTGGAATTGTAGGATTCGGTAATATAGAAACTCCGAGCTTGGAACAATACGACAAGTATGTAATAAGTTTCAAGTCTTTACATATATTATCAACTTATTATATTGTCTGTCCTATCGAAAAACTCTGAGTTATACTCTGAACTGGAAATCGATGCGCAATAAGTTGATCAAGTGAAATAATTATATATTTAATTCACTTCAATTCATTGCATCTTGTATGTGGTAGATTAATTCCAGTTCAGAGAATTTATCGATAAATGATAAACGATGTGATAACTCGATAATATGTGTAACCACAGATATTGATAAACACGTACAGATATTAATAAACTGTATTCCAGTTTAAAAATATATTAATGCTTTATAAAAACATTTGGATTGAAAAAGGTCAGGTCACAAAATTGCATGATGAAATCATGTAATTAAAATTATGTAAATTACGTAACAGATTATTCCAAATCAATACGTGATTTTAAAATTACGTATTTAGAAAAATCATATGATAAAATATATTCTTTTTTCTTCTATTTCTATCATTTAATTCTTTAAAATTCAATAATTATAAAATAACATAATGGATAAAATTATTTGTAAAATCATGTAATTTTTCAAATTATATTTAAAAAAATCCCTAATTTGAAACAATCCGTAACGTGATTTACATATTTTAATTACATGATTTCATCATGTAACGTTGTGACATGATTTTTTTCAGTAGAGATATTTTCAACATAAATTTATTTTCAGTATTATGAACGTAAATGTTCGCTCGGTATTTCAATTGACAGCACTAGCAGTACCACATTTAAGCAAAACGAAAGGCAACATTGTAAATGTTTCAAGCGTGGCTGGATTACGACCTCTGAGGAATCATTTGTCATATTGCATGAGTAAGGCGGCTCTGGATCAATTTACGCGTTGCGTTGCTTTAGAATTGGCATCACGACAGGTGCGTGTAAACAGGATAATGGCTGTTTTCTTTTTTTAACAATAGATATATATAAATAATAATTAGTGCGTTATATTATTATTTTTAAAATATAGGTGCGTGTGAATGCTGTAAATCCTGGTGCTGTACAAACAAATATCTTCCAGAACACTGGACTGAGCCAAGAACAAATTAAAATCCGTTATGAACAGTTGAAAGGGATGCATGCTTTAGCAAGAAACGGCGACTCTTTGGAAATCGCAAAAACCATTGCATTTCTAGCAAGTGACGATGCTAGTTTTATGACAGGGGTGACATTGCTTGTAGATGGAGGTTGGCATATTGTGCCCCCCGAGGGTGTTGCGATACATTAAAATGGTATATTATAATATAGGGCGCAAAATTTAAATAGACACCAATAATTTTTAAAGCGTTCATGTATACTAAATATACATTTTCTTGAAATATTGTCAATAACTGAGATCAAAGAAAATGTAATTTTATAATTCCGTATATACATACCGTATAATTACAAATGAGAAAACTTTCTAAGCAGAACAGATTACGCGATTACGTCAAAATGAAATTAAATGTATCCTAATTAATCGAAAAGTAAGTTAATCTTGACAATCATTGGAGCTATTTTATATTAACATGATTTTTTTAATTGCTTAAATAATAATAATTATTAATTATTATATGCATGGACAGATGATTTAAAATATGCTAAGATGGGGAATGTTTCACGATCTGTTATAAATTCACGATCAAATGAACGTGTTATCGTTCTGGAAAAGAAGAGTGGGACGGAAAAATATATAAACTGGCGTCAATATCACATTATCGTACTTTTATCGTGCTTTTATGTATATATATATATATATATATATATATATATGTACATATATACATCGTTACAATACGGGTTTCGCTCTTATAAATGTAATATTGCGTTTCGTATCGCTTGAAATTATAAGTTTCGCCGTTTTGTGAACATTATTTAATATCATTGTACTACCATAGTAAGTAATTCTACATTTATTAAACACAAATTTTTACACATTATTTTACATTATTCGAAAGAATAATCGGTGTTTTAATTCTACATATTTTGATTTCTTTTCTTTTCACAAAACCTAATCCCTTTAAAAGGAACAATTTATCTTTGCAAATGCAAATATAATTCCATTAACTACATAATAATTACATTAGATTCGTAATATTAGTATCTTAAATTATATAATATAATGTAGCAATTCAATGTAATCGGATTTAATTTACTTATGGTTGCTTGAGGAGTGGTGATACTACTTGATACATCAGTCTAAAGAATCTTATCTATTTTAGATGTTTTTTACGGGAAAGGTTATTTTGATAACAGGGGCCAGTTCAGGAATTGGAGCTGAAACAGCTATTCACTTTGCTCAACTTGGTGCATCGTTGTCGATAACAGGACGTAATAAACATAATTTAGAAAAAATAGCCGAACAATGTGGACAACTTAAACCGTTTATTATAACGGGAGATCTAGCCAATGAGAATGATGTGAAAAATATTATCGACTCGACAATCAAGCATTATGGCAAATTAGATGTTTTAGTTAATAATGCTGGAATTGTAGAATTCGGTAATATAGAAACTACAAGCTTGAAACAATACGACAAGTATGTAATAAGTTTCAAGTATTTATATATATTATCAACTTATCATGTCATCTGTCTTTTATAAAGATTTAGTTACTCTCAGTTACACTTTGGAACTGCACATGGTATAATAATTTGATCAAGTTAAACAAATATACGTTTCACTTTAATCTATTGCGTCGTGCATATGGTGGATTAATTCCACCATGACACCACGTGCATTAATTCTAAGAATTTATCGGCAAATAATAAACTTGTTACAACTCAATAATATGTGTAAACATGTATGGATATTAATAAATTATTCTATTTTGAAAATATATTAACTTCACAAAAACGTTATTTCAACATAAATTTGTTTTTAGTATTATGAACGTAAACGTTCGCTCGGTATTCCAATTGACAGCTCTGGCAATACCACATTTAGTCAAAACGAAAGGCAACATTGTAAATGTTTCAAGTATAGGTGGATTACGACCACTAAGGAATAATCTGCCATATTGCATGAGTAAGGCAGCTCTGGATCAATTTACACGTTGCGTTGCTTTAGAATTGGCATCACGACAGGTGCGTGTAAATATAATGGCTATTTTCTTTTTTCAATAATAAGATTATAAATATTAATTTACGCGTCGTATTATTATTTTTAAAATACGATAGGTACGTGTGAATGCTGTAAATCCTGGCGCTGTACCAACAAATATCCTTCGGAACTCTGGAATGACCCAAGAACAGCTTAAAAACCATTTCGAGCAATGGAAAGGGATGCATGCTTTAGAAAGAAACGGCGACTCTTCGGAAATCGCAAAAACCATTGCATTTCTAGCAAGTGACGGTGCTAGTTTTATAACAGGGGTGACATTGCTTGTAGATGGAGGTTGGCATGTTGTGCCTCCCGAAGGTGTTGCGATGCACTAAAGTGATATAGCTATAACATAGGGCGCAAAATTTGGAAGAGCGCAAAATTTAAATAGACACTAATAATTTTTAGAATTTTTAAAGCGTCCATATACTAAACATACGTTTTCTCGAAATATTGTCAATAATTGAGATCAGAAAATTTTATGTTGTAGTATTTACAAAATATATTATTACACAATATATCAAACAAAAAATGAAATATGTTTTATTAATATATATGTATCAGGTATCAAGATAAATATAAAAATAAAATATAAAATTATTAAAATTAGTAAAATTGTTCTTTTTATTTTCGTTATTCGTTCATTGCGATTTTTTCTTCAAGCGTGAAAAATTAGCGGATTTCAGAAACTTAGTAACCCTCAAATATGAAACCAAATTCCAGTATAGAAGTCTAAATGTAAGGCCTCCATTGTCTTCTAAAAATCTTATTATATCATTTATCTAAATTTCTAATCAATACATGGTATACATATCTTTTTATGTATATTCATATATAAGGGACGTCATATGACGATTAAAATCTTTTGAATTCAGAATTTAAAATCTTTTGTTGTTCAGATTTGCATATTAAAAATATATGAAAAAAAAGAGCATAAAGAACTACAGCACAAGATGTAGTTAGTGATATTTAATTATTCTTGCATTACGAATTACAATAAAAAACATTAAACGTTTCGGCCACAATCTGGCCATCTTCAGTAAAATTAATAATATTCTTAAGACGCAGAGTTACATCAAGTTGGAATCAAATTCAACCCTCGTGTGTTATAATTGCAAAAAACGTGTTTGCATCAAAGCGACGCTGCTTCATATAATAATGTTAGAACGTCAGAAGTCATGTAGTAAAAAGTGTAGAACGAGAATTTCCAGATTCTAATTTACAATAATTTATTTAATTATTAATATCTTTTTTAAAAACGGAGTATAAAACAAAGGAAACATTACCTGTTTTACAGCAAAATAATCGATGAATTACAAGTATACTCATTTCACAGATAAAAATTTGTCGTGACACTATGTGTTGTTATTGGTCGTATCGCATTTTTATCATATTTTTCGGCTATTTATATCCATGAGCCAAATAGTTTAGAAAGTTTTAGAATTGTTTATTAAGTGCGAGGGAGATCTTTCTTTAGAAGAGGAAGATACAATATCAAGATCGATCCTAGTAGCTTTAATACAAAATTTGATATCTCAAATACCAACGAGAAATGGCTCATTAATCTGAGCGAGGTTGACATTCCAAGTAAAGCTAAAATAGTTTTACAATTGGGTCAGCATTTTAATTTATCTAATAATTTAACGAATAAAGAACGAATTACATGTGAGTTCATTAAACACGTTGAACATAATTTGTTTAAAGCTGACGAGGATATTTGCAAATCGGTCAGAAATGAGACATCCTACATCCTCAAGTCTTAAACGATTCATCTCAGAGAATCTTGAGATGTTAATCACGAAAGCGGACAAAGGAAACACCACAGTAATCATGAATCGTGAAAATTATCGGAAAAAATATATGAAATTCTTAACGATCAGACGACATATAAGGTAATAGATAAAGATCCTACAAATAAGATAAATTTAGAAATTAGGAATTTATTAAAAAATTGGAAAAATAAGGGGTACATTGACCCAAGCATATACAAAAAATTATATGTTTCTGATTGCGAACTTCCGAGATCTTACGGACTGTCAAAAATTCATAAAGAAGGTCATCCACTGAGATTAATTATTTGATGCAAACACGTTTTTTGCAATTATAACACACGAGGGTTGAATTTGATTCCAACTTGATGTAACTCTGCGTCTTAAGAATATTATTAATTTTACTGAAGATGGCCAGATTGTGGCCGAAACGTTTAATGTTTTTTATTGTAATTCGTAATGCAAGAATAATTAAATATCACTAACTACATCTTGTGCTGTGGTTCTTTATGCTCTTTCTTTTCATATATTTTTGAAATTATAACCACATTCATTTTTTACATTTTTGGATATTAAAATTTGTCAAGATTTAGGCCATTGGAGATTGTTTTTCTTATTTTTTTTTTATTTTATGTAAAATTGAATTTTTAGTGCGAAACAAACAACGGACTATAAATATCAGTCATAAAGTGCATGGGATGTTCCAAAATTCGTTACTCAAAATACTACAGCAAGGAATCTCAAAAATTAAGTTTTAGTGGTAAAGCTATTTGTATATTTTTATTTTAAATGTTAGTTTTAGAGATACAAAGTTTTAAATTATAACCAATTACAAAATACGTTTATATGTATCATATATATCGCATATATATATCGTGTACAATCGTCGAATGTTTCGATTAAATTCTGGCCTTCAACAAAGTAAATAAATTTTACATAGTGTTCATTACATAATGTAATAATTCCCCTACATATATGTAACATTGCTGTATACAAGATTTTTCATTTCGCAATTAGAACTGCATATTTAGTGCTGTTATTTATATAATTTTGATGTTTAAATTTCGAGAGTTATGTCACTTTTGTTAACGTCACATTTTTAACATAAAGTTTTTCTATACATTTTTTCCTGAACATTCCTGATAAATATTTATGCGTATAATATTGATTTATGTTTATACATATTTATACATATTTATGCATAAAAAATTTTGTACCGGGTATTACGGTGCGTAGTTTTGCTCGTAATAGAACCCATATATTTTTTCATATTTTATTGTAATTTATCATTTTATACAATAATATTCCGAAAGAAATGTCGTTTTCTTCTATCGTTTTTTTTATTCTTTATTGAGTTTATTGAAAGCGAATTTAATCATTAAGATAGAATTCTTATAGTAATTTGTTTTTATCTTTGATATGATGAAATATATTAAGAAATAGTAAATAAAAATCTAATTAATTTATTCTCAATAAAGCAAGTTCAAAATTTTCCATCGTATAATTACATTTACATAGCGTATAATTACAAAAGAGAAAATTTTCCAAGCAAAACAGGTTATAATATAATGTTAAAATGACATTAAAATAAATCGCAATTGATCGAAAAATAACTTAATTTTGACAATCATTTTGGAGTTATTTTCACATTAATGACTTTTTATCATGTTTTTGAATTATAATTAATTATTAATATTATTATTAATTATGTACAAGGATATAGATAATTTAAAACGTATCTTACAGCAAAAATAAAGTGTTATGACATGAACGAACTTTATACCGTTCTTTATTAGCAAAAAAAGAGTAGGGATCAGTATATAAGCGTCAATTTAATCATGTTGGTTTATAACGTTTGCTTATCATCAATGTGTTAAAGACATCTCGTTATTGCATCTCGCTATTACAAACGTATTTCGCGTTTATTGAAATTATCTGAGTTGCATGTGTATTTTGTAAATCATTCAATATCATTGTAAATATCACAGTAAGTATTTATAATATTATCTTTTTAAAATATAAATCATTGTTTTACATAATTCGGAACAATAAATGTCATGCCTTCAAATGTCTCTTTTCTTTTTTCTTCCTTTCGAAAAACTTACACGTTCATACATCCTTCTCTTTTTCTTTTGTAAAATTACTTTTTAGTGTAATAGAAATAATAATAGTAATGTGAAAACATAAAAAATAATTAAAGGAATAATTTTTGCATTGTTTGTTTCAGAAAAAAACAAATTTGGAAAAATGTAAAAATATTGCTCCTACATAATTATGCATAATTTTATATATAATTATACATAAGTAATTTTTTTACGTTTCTTCAAACTTGATTTTTTCTAAAATAAATAGTGAAAATTACTTTTTTAATTATTTTTAATGTTTTCACATTATTATTTCTATTATACTAAAAAGTAATTTTACAAAAGAAAAAAGGATGAATATGTATGGACATATTTCATAATATATATAATTATATATATTTATGAACATTTATACATGTTTATGTATGACAAATTTTGATACTACATTTTTAATGTCTTAGATTATATGACATAACGTAGTAATTTAATGTGATTAATTGGATTTATATAAGAATCAACATTTTACTGCTATAACTAGTCGCTTGATGAGCGATACGCTATTGAATACATCTAGTTTGAAAAATGTTATCTATTTTAGATGTCTTTTGCGGGAAAAGTTGTTCTAATAACAGGGGCCAGTTCAGGAATTGGAGCTGAAACAGCTATTCACTTTGCTCAACTTGGTGCATCATTGTCGATAACAGGACGTAATAAACACAATTTAGAAAAAGTAGCCGAACAATGTGGGCAATCCAAGCCGTTCATTGTAACGGGAAATCTAGCCAATAAGAACGACGTGAAAAATATCATCGACTCGACAATCAAGCGCTATGGCAAATTAGATGTTTTAATCAATAATGCTGGAATTTGGGAACCTGGTGGTATAGAGACCACAAGCTTGGAAAAGTTTGATAAGTATGTACTAATAAGTAACTTGTTTATATGTATAAACATGTATGAATATTGATAAATTATATTCTCTATTTGAAAACACATAGATATGAAAACGTATTTTTAACGTAAATCTGTTTTCAGTGTTATGAACGTAAACGTTCGTTCGGTATTCCAATTGACAGCACTAGCAGTGGCACATTTAATCAAAACGAAAGGCAACATTGTAAACGTTTCTAGCTTAGCTGGATTACGACCAGGAGTAGGTTTTCTGGCATATTACATGAGTAAGGCGGCTTTAGACCAATTTACGCGTTGCATTGCTTTAGAATTGGCATCACAACAGGTGCGTATAGGGATAATAATGACTGTTTCTTTTTTTTTTCAACAATGAGAGTTTTAAGTATTATTTTGCGTCATATTATTTTAAATGTAAAAATAGGTGCGAGTGAATGCCGTAAATCCTGGCGTCATAGAAACAGACATCTTTCGAAACTCTGGAATGAATCAAGAACAGCTTAAAAACTTTTTCGAGCAGTTTAAAAAGGTACATGCTCTAGGAAGAAATGGTGATACTTCGGAAGTCGCGAAGGCCATTACATTTCTAGCAAGTGACGATGCTAGTTTTATGACAGGGGTGACATTGCCTGTAGATGGAGGTGCGCATATTTTGTCTTCTAGTAGTATTGTTTCTATATAATCTGATAAAAACGATATATGCAAGATAGTAACTAGTTATATAATAAGTTTAATGTTAAATAGAAGTTAAAAAGTTAATAATGTATATTTAGCTTAATTTAATTAATTTTAAATAAATTATGTTTTAAATTAATGTAGTTACTTTTAAATTTTATATTAACTTTTTCTTTTTAAATTTTTTTATCTGTTTAAACGCTAATATTTTTTTTTCTATAAAATCTTAAACATTAAAAGATTAGTTTGGAAAAGCTCAGTGATTGTGTGATAGGTGCTCGTATAGTGCTAAAAAATGAACGTGGAAAGTTGACAAACTTAGTATATAATGCTATTGCGTGTATTCTTATTTTATATTTGATCGATAAAAAAAGAAAGTACAACCTAACTAGAATAACAAGTCACGGTAACGTCATCATTTTAACGTCAAAATGTTAAAATGACGTTAAAATGAATTGTAAATGATATTTTGCAGTCATTTTGACATTTTAATATTATAACTTGTTGTTCTGCTTGGAAATATAGTCTTTGCATCAGAGTATCATTATCTAGTACAATGCTGAGATTTAGTTGCACATTTCCTCTGATTTTCAACTTGGTTGTTGCCCTTTACTTCACCAACCCGCGCGTGTTAATTAAAGTTAAAAAAAATAGCGTTTAGAAAGATAAAAAAATTTAACAAAAAGAAGTTAATAATAAAATCTCGGCATTGATCTATTATAATAATTGAGACACTCCTTACACCTTGTTATGACCTTCAGATTCCCGTGATCCCCGAAGGTTATACTTGTTATCCTTATTTAACATTCGGAAAATAACAAGAATGGATATCTAGGTAGCATTCGAGTTGGAATCTGAACATATTAATATGTTTAAAGCCCTAATGGTTTTAGTATATTACTGAAAGTTCACTGAATTTAACCGACTCAAATATTGTATCTCTGATTTTCTAGGACTTTAATATATATAATATATTGTATAATTATATATTGTACTTACATTAATGATAAGGTATGTACAATATAATTGCATATATTCTATTCTATTAATTGCAAGAAAGTATATTTAAAAAATTAGATTTATATTATATATATTGTAATTATAATATTTGTTATGTTCTATATGTATATGCTACATATTTCCATAAAAAAAAAATGCTTATTAATATTTGTATCTAGCAAAAAGAGAAAATAGAATAAAACCATTCTTTTAGCATTGGGTTTATATATATGTGTATTAATCATTTCCCAATTTTATAATACATTTTATATAAAACAAGATAAGGTAATTTTATAATAAGAGAGAAATTTATGCAAGGAAAATTTAAATATCTCGATCATAAGTAAAAATCACTATATATGTACAAAATAAACAAGTAGAGGACATTTTTATTAAACTAAAACGGTCAGTTTGGAAATTTAATTGATAAGATAGAATTGTAACTTTATATCTATTATTTTATAAATAATATACTTTTACTATAAAAATATTGGAAAATTCAAATTTAACTCAGACATTCAGTTAATTTGTTGTAAATTATAATCATTTAGTTTTTATTTTGCCAATAAAAATGATAGTGTTAATTGTTATTTATATTATAATTATAATACACAATATTGTTAAAATATTGTCTAAATATTTAGGCTGATATTAAAAAACAAATGATATTACATAAGAAACGGTTAAATTTTTAAATTATTATCGTGATAATAAGTATGATAACAATTAAAATACACTTCTGTACAAAGAAACATCATTAGAATAAACATTTACTATCTAACATGTTTTTGCTGAATATATTATTCTATTCACGTTATACATCTCTGAAAGAGGCTGCATATTTAATAATTATTAAAATGCACTTTAATGCATGATGTAAGAAAACAAGACTTTGTCGACAATTTTATCTTCTTACATTATGCATTAAACCTTACATAATAGGCTAATATTGCGAAAAAAAATATCGCTATTTATTAATCATTGCATCATGTTATCAGTATAATCAGTACTCATGACAGTACTGGCGACGCATCGTCGATTCTCTTCTAATAGAGCTTGTTAAAAAACGAGAAAAAGATAAATGATGCGTCATCCTCGCAAGGCAGATATAATCACGTAGTTTCATAACGCGCATCACGAGCTCAGCTGCAAGATGAATCTGAAGAAACGAATCGTGTTATTTGGCGGCACTGGAAACACCGGTCTTTGTTCTCTGAGAACCGCCGTGGAAAATGGTAATTCTGCTGTTTATATGCGCTATTATTGTATTTTTTTTATTATGTATTTTTTTCCAACCAACAATGTGCTGCGTGCTCTTCGCATTTGCACCACATTACACCTTTCGCACTTGAAACGGGGCGAATATATATAATTAAACGTTAGATAGAAAAGAAGAGGAAGAATAGAAAGTACAAAAAGTTCAGCTACAAAGAACGAACCTATACATATTACATGTAGTTGTTGTTAAAAAGTTTCTCGTTCTGTCACTCGAGATCACAATTTAAAAGATCAGTAATCATAAATAATTTAGAATATATAATTATGAGTTATATAAATTTATTTTATAGATCTACTTTTTATAATTAAAAATCAGAGTTCATTAAATGATATAATTAATATTTCCTCCTATCAAAGTGTACTCGTGACATATAATTATTGTGTATATGATTTTGTAATTTTTTGTGCATAATAAATTAATTCTTTTTTATCTGTGATATTCAAATCGAGTATTATACATATAGATATTTTCTCGATTATCTCTATTATTTAGGTCTGGAGGTGAGAGCTTTTGTAAGAGACAAGGACAAGGTTCCTGAAGATCTTAGAAATAAAGTTGAACTAATTGAAGGAGATGTTACTAATGCAAAAGAGGTTGCAAATGCGGTAGCTGATAGAGATGCCGTTGTGGTAATACTTGGTACCAGGACAGACTTGCGTAAGCAACACATATATATTTTTTAATAGATATGTATATATTTTTTCGTTGTTTCATAATATATTCTACTTATTCATTTTATGCTACTTTAAGGTCGTACTACTGTAATGTCTCAAGGCATGAAGAATATAATAGAAGCCATGAAAGCACATAATGTTGAATTGGTGTCTATATGCCTATCAGGTATTGTAATATGTTGTAAAAGCAAAGATATTAAATACCTGCCAAAACTATTAGGTGTTGGAATTAATTCGTAGCGTTTTTTAATGAAAGAATGTCATTTATTTCACATGAGCATTAAAAAATACATTAATGAAAGTACTTCCCATCACTTGTAAAACGCTACGAATTAATTCCAACACCTAATATTAATTATTATAAGGCTTATTTTTTATTGCACTAGACTGCCCTTTCTATCTCACTTTTGTCATACTTTAAATATATCTATCTCTCATTTTAAATATGAATGTACACTAGTTCAATCACAAAGAACAGACTTAATGTAGAAATATATTATTGTGTATAATTTTGCTAATGAAAAAAATATCCTTTTGATACTTCTGACACATTTCGAACTTCTTGTTATTTGGGACTTCTCTTCTAAATATTTAACTTTATTGTATATGCAATACTCTTTTCTAATGTTCATTGCCTAAACTTTCAGCATTTTTATTCTTCAAACTTGAAGCAGTGCCTACTATATTTAGAAGTGTAACTGAAGATCATCAGCGCATGTTCGACTTGATCAAATCAAGCGATTTAAAATGGATAGCGATATTTCCACCGCACATTACAGGTATGCTTACATAATAAGAGATAAAGTATGTAATAATCTTGAGATATTGTTTTTCTCTTCAGAGACACCAAAGTCCAGATACACTGTCACATTCGATTCTTCACCTGGACGAGTAATCTCCAAATATGACCTGGGTGCGTTTCTTGTCGAATGTCTTGAGAATCCTAATTATTATCAAAAGATCTGTGGCATTGCGACCGTGTCATGATGCGAGAAATGGTAGGAATGTAAAAATAATAAGATGCATGTATTTTTTTCTAGTGGAAAAATAAATATATATATTTATATAAATTGTTATTACGTTTGATAAGTTATGCAACTGGCTCGAATTGTACGTGTTGGATGGAAAAAGATCATGTTCTGCCGCTAGAATACAACGAATGAAGAAGGAATATTTACAATAAAGATGTAATCTAGACGAGAGAAATGGCGCTAAAAAACAATGAATCTGCTTGTCGAACCTTCATATATAAATTAGAATTACAAATGTAAAGTTAGAAAAATAAGTCTACGGCACTCTACTTTGCAGCTTATAATAAGAACAGAAGCTTTATTCTCGAAAAATATCGCATACGATAATATTATAGTATACGTTATGTATATTATAGATTTTCGTACATAGATTCAAGAATATAGGCTTAAAATTTGAAGTATCTAATACTTCGAGCTGAAAAGACAAATGCATGTTTATTCGCGAATGATTTCAAACGAATGATTTCATGTTTGAAAAAATTATTTACATGATATATTTACATGACTAATAATTTCCTAAATAGAAGAGTTCAAGTTCTTCGTTAAGTTGCAATGTGCTAAATTGTCTATTCTCTCATTTTATTCTATTTAAATAAAAAAAATTGAGTTCGTTTTTCTGTAAGTATCTAATTTTGTGAAAGCTCTCGTTTTCAGTGCGAGTAGAGCATACTCTAAAATTTAATATAATACCAGTATCATAATTTCTTGACCATGTGTGTTTTTTGAGACAGCATTCGCATGTCGAAAAACTTTGACAATTGAAAGGCTGGCATCGGGGGTGGCGGAGGCGGCGGTGGCAATTGTTCGGCGGACTGATCGCCATTTCGCTCCTTGAATCTGGTCCTACCGAGAGGTGGACTGGCAGTTATGATATCATTAATGCCATACGCTTTAAATGGATCGCACACCTTGTATCCGTTTTTATAGTAAAACATTTCCTGACCATCTGTCTTTAGGTAGATGTTCTTCAGGCCTCTTTTTGCGACATACTCCTCCACGCCACGCAACAGTCTAGACCCTAATCCTTTAGATCTACATCGATAATCGATTACAACTGAAATATTGCAGATATGTAGTATTATTATGATTTATCTTTTTTGATTTATTAACATATATGTTTTCAATTATTCTACTTGTTAATTCTATTGATGTATATCCATTAAAATAAATTACTACTATTTCTGCTTACCAGACTCTATGAAACAGCTAATTTTCGATCTAGCCACCAGAGATATTTTGCAGTGCCCGAGAACCTTGTTTTCGCCATTAATTAAAACTAAACATGTGGGAAAATCGTCACAAGACACACTTAGAGATTTCATTCTGTAATATAATGATATGAAAATCAGTTTTGTCGATGTATCTTCATTATTTTCCTTAATCTTTGAAACCAAGAAGAAAAATAACACACCGTGCAGTTTCACTTCGAGGCCATTCAGAATTAAGCAACTTACAACAGTCTTTAATCAAGTCAGGCCGATGGTGAAGAGGTATCACTACGTACTTAACGTCACTTTCCGTCATATCTGCCTGCAAAATTGGATATTATTAGATACTTCAAAGTCGGATCAATTAGATTGTTGAATTTGTAAAAAATATTGAAAAGTGTCTTTAAATATATATATTACTATTTATATAGTTATATATATATATATATATAACTATATAAATAGTAATACATATATATATACACACACACACACACACAATTAATATATTTCTAATAGTAATAGTATTTATTACAATTACTGGTGTATGTATACTTGAAGTATTACTATTTTTTCATGTATATAATTATCCTAAATCTCTTTGCATTCAAGTGTAAATCTTATTCAAATCTCTATTTCATTTAATTATCAGTATGATCATGTTTTCTACTTCTAGTTTTCTATTATTATATAGAAATAAATATCTTTTTTTTAGATTATTACTATTGCTTTTATTAATTACTATATTGTGTAAAAATCTCAAACTTTATTCTAGTATATATTTACTTGATTTTCCTCAATCGCATCTCGTTTGACACACATATACCCACCTGTCATATCTAAAAATACACTCTAATACAAAAATGAACTACACGAGCTTACGATACAACAATGAAATGACAGCTTATGATTCTACATAGTACATATCTCTCTTTCTTTTTTTCAGCTGCATTTAAATCTGATATATGTCCTGTCTCATATATTTATAAATATATCTTGGATATGGATGCAGCTGCGAATACACGTGTACGTACCATTACAATTGTGAATATTACAAACCGCTGTAGTGGAAAGAAAGTCTATCAAACAATCATGCATCCTGCTCTACTGCCTGCTTTGACAGGTGACTACAAATCGGAGTACAAATCGACGAATGGAAAGAAGGAAGCAGAGCGATGAGAAGGGTGTTCTTACCGTGTTTCTCAACGGAGATAAAGAGAATTCGTTTCCGCGCGCTCGGACGCGAACCTCGCCGGTGACGATCGACGCAGTGTCTCATCTCAAGTTTTTCGTTCTCGAAACGATATTTCGGGATTTTATCCCCACCGCGTTATGCCGCATAACGCGGTGGCGTCCATAACAAGGCGCGCCGCCGCACCTCTCCGTTTTCGTTTTCTTAAGTTTCCCGGAATTCTTACATTTCACCACATTTCGCTTTTCCTGCTGTACCAACGCATGTCTCGTGGCTGTCTAAGTATTTGGTATTTAAAGAGAACGGGAAGATTGCAAATACTAAATAATTCCTAACATATGCTCTAAACTTTGGATATCCGCTCTTACATGCAATTAGTGAGTTCTTTTAAATGAATTGTTTTAGAACTGTATTGTCTCATATGATATTTTCTGTCCACAACACACAGTATTCGTGATTAATTTATTGTATTACAGAAGGAAAGTGAATTATAGCTGCTTCGAGGATATTTATGATTTTCTCCAAGTATAGAAGAAAGTTCTTTAATAAAATACTGTTTCATCAAAAAGAAAAAATAGGATAAAATTACACTTCCTGATTAATTCCGTAATAAATCGGAGATATAAAAGTTCTATTTGTTAATATTAAATATATAGGCTCGTATTCAGAACGCGCTTACAATGATGTAGCACGTTAACATGCTATAATTTACGTTACGCATACTATAGAATTTCAGAGATAAAAGCGCGCTTTTATCGATAAAAACGCGTTCTGAATACGGGCCATATTCTGTAACGTTCGGATATAATAGAAAATAAGACAGAGACAAAATGCCAGATTTAAGAGTTCTCAATTGAGAAGTTCCACCCACGTGGCGACCTACGAGAGATCGCGAGAGACTTGGAGAGACTTGCCCATGACCGAGTCTATTATTGTTCGCTCCGACGAGGAAAAAAAAAGGAAGATGACCCTTTTCTTTCGGTTCCGTCCCACATTTCTTCCCGTAACCTCTATTCTATTTGCGGATCCGTGATCCGCATTCTCGTGCACGTGATACACCGCACGTGACAGTAGGCCTATTCTTTTTGGCTGAACTTTTGCACTGGTTCATCTTTCTTCCTTTTCTCTCCAGCAGGAAAGAAGAAAAAGAAAGATGAACTGGTGCAAAAGTTCAGCTAAAAAGAACAGGTCTATTGCACGCTCGATCTGACAGGAAACTGTATTACTGATGTGATCAGGGCATCAATTATGAAACTTTATCCCTAGGATGGAAAGTGAAAATTTTAACCATTGAAGTTAATGAAAAAATTTTTCCCTTTTCATTTTTCATCCTAGGAAAAAAGTTTCATGATTGATACTCTGTAATAGAATCATGGTATTGCAAAAATTCATTGATATTACCGACAAGTTTTGATAGTTAGTTCCATTTTGTTGACTGTGTCACAGCAGGGGGGCGCCATAATTTCTAAACCTTCTCCTCCCCAAATATACGGGATTTTATTGCCTCGTGTATCATAGCTCTGTCCTCTGACAGCAGATTTGACGTGTCGCATAACGGAGTGTTGAATGTGGAATAATGAATATTTGTTTGAACGCTCAAATTAATAATTGCTGCAGTATAATTCAGTAGATCGTATATTTGGCCGTCCACTATTGTTTATACGTAATTATTTCACTCCAAATGCAGTAACGTATTTCACAACTTTACTTGTCAAGTAAATAATAACGAAGCAAAATATGAGAAGCGGTACCCAAGACACCGCTTGCAAATTGAAAAATGCGACGACTTCGAAAACGAACGAAAAGGAAGAAAGTGGGACGTATGTATAATTATAATTTTATCAAAATTATGTGGTTATCTTGATTGTATATACTTTTTAATGCATCTCATATGCATCTCACGATTCTGTTTGCTTTTCAATTAATTATTTTTTTCTTATTACAGTATATAAAAATTATTAAAATGCTGGAGATACTAGGTTTTTTTTCATTTTATCCTCGACAAAAATATTTCTATAAATTATGTTTTATATTTCTGTTCTTTTTTCTATAAAGAAAATTCTTTACTAGTAATAATTACAGAATATAATAATTATTGCAAAAAAAAAAAGAAAATATTATTCTTTAATGTGATAAATTAGCATGAAATAAGTAAGATATTGCAACATAATTACAAGTTGGTTTTATGTTTATAGAGACTGGTGGCTCCTGTTTGGAGGTATAACTGTATTTACCTTAATCACTAGATTTTATAAAGTTACAGAACCTCAACATGTATGGTAAGAGAAATCAAGGATTTTTATTAAAAAATATATATTTCTTATTTAAGCTTTTTTTTAAGAGAAAGTTCTTAGAAACTTCTTTCAGTTGGGACGAAACACATTTTGGCAAAATGGGCAGTTGGTACATAAATAGGACGTTTTTCTTTGACGTGCATCCACCTTTAGGAAAGGTAGGTTTCTCAAAGAAAATTCTATACATTTTCTCTAGAAAAAATATAACTATCACATGAGACTAAAAATATTTTATATTCTATTTTTAGATGCTCATTGCTTTGTCGGGATATATGACGGGTTATGATGGGACATTTGCTTTTGAAAAACCAGGAGATAAATTTGAAAATATTAATTACATTGGCATGAGAATTGTAAGTTGAGCAAGCTTTTTTCAATTAAAATAAAACAAGATCTATCAAAGGATTTAGAAAATTTATCGGAAGCATTAAAGCTGCAAAGATTTAATCAGAAATTTTTCTGGCTTAGTTCTGTACAATTCTGGGTGCATCCACTGTCCCTCTATCATATCTTATTGTATGGGATCTTACTAAGTCAATTTGCGCATCTGCACTTGCTGCCTTTTTCATCTTATGTGGTAAATTGTAATGTTCTTGCGATATAGATAATCTTGAATTTTGTCAAATTAACAAAATGATTCATTTTTCTTTGCAGACGTAGGATTGTTGACATTGAATCAGTACATTCTGCTAGATCCCATATTGTTATGTTTTATGATGTGTGCGACATGGGGCATGGCGCGTGTATCATCATTTCGAGATCGACCGTTCACAAGATCCTGGTGGTTGTGGTTATCATTCACCGGAGCTTCACTTGCGTGCACAATCAGTGTAAAATTCGTCGGACTCTTTGTTGTTCTGCTTGTGGGTCTTTACACCGTGTACGAACTCTGGCGAGAATTGGGTGATTTGTCTAAGCCTATTGTAAGTCATTTCACGAGAATTCAATATCAATACTTTTACTCTTATAGAAGAAATACAGCTTAATACTAGCCAATTTAATACTGACAAATAGTACTGAATTACTTTGAATATTAAAAGTATTGCTCAGTGCTTCTAATACTCAAAATAAATAATTAATTATTATATCTTCTAGTATTAAACTTATGTAATGTCGTAAATAGTGCAATGCTTTGCATTTTAATTGACATGATTAATGAGGTAATTAATAAGTTTACTTTTAATTTAATAATTAATATGAGATTGAGAGAATGGACGATTATAAGTTTCCAAAGAACAATTTTGATTTTGCTTTTTGCAGTCTTATGTGGGGAAACATTTGTTAGCAAGATGCTTTTGCCTCATCCTATTACCGATTTTACTTTACATGCTATTTTTTTATATTCATCTTTCCGTTTTAAATAAAAGGTAAGAATTATTGCATCAATTTACAGAGCATAGTCTGTTACTATTAATGTCAAATATTTTTATATAAATTTTATGTTAATTTTTTCTTATTTCTTAGAATGTCCTGTATAATTTAAGTTACAATTATGTGTACAAACTAATGTTTAATTTACAAATAAACATTGTTATGCTTAGTGGTAGTGGCGATGGCTTCTACAGTTCCGAATTTCAATCGTTATTACGTGGAAATTCGTTGTATAACGCGACGATGCCACGGCAATTGGCGTATGGTGCTACTATTACGTTAAAAAATCATCGCACAGGTGGTGGTTACTTGCATTCTCATTGGCATTTATATCCTGAAGGAATCGGCGCCAGACAGCAACAGGTTGTTATATGTATATACAAGTACTTACATTTAGTACAAAGTAACATAAAGAAAAGTAAAAATATAAAAATGAATTTATATAAAAGATGTAGATTTATAATTTGTCAGGTATTGAAATAAATGATATATATATATATATATCTTACTTCATCTGGAAAAGATGGAAAACGCATATGATAGAATGATTTGAGTGGGCGACATTAAGTGAAACTAAGTTCCTAGTATTTGACGTACGTATCTGATTACAGATCACGACCTATTCTCACAAAGACGATAACAATCTATGGCTAGTGAAGAAATTCGACACGGATGTGATACCGCCAGAACCAGAATTGGTTAAACACGGCGACCTCGTGCGTCTGGAGCACATTACGACGAGACGGAATTTACATTCGCACAAGGAGATTGCACCAATATCAAAAAAACATTATCAAGTTACCGGATATGGAGAAGTAAGTAAAGAAAGATTCCAACGTGATTGTGGCATTGCTTTCGGTTTTATCAAGCGTATTTCCTATTTGTCTCATAGAACGGTACGGGCGATGCTAACGACGTTTGGAAAATATTGATAACGAACGGAAGAGATGGCGACGTGGTTGAGACAGTGACAAGTAAATTAAAGTTCGTGCATTATCTTCATCATTGTGTGTTAACATGTAGCGGCAAAACGTTACCGAAATGGTTGGTAGCGATAAAAATTACATTAAATTTAAATCTTTCGCGTAGAATAAAATTTTCTATTGTACGATCAACTTTTAATTTATCTAGGGGGTACAGCCAGCAAGAGATTTCTTGTAATCCTAATATGAGAGATAAAAATGGATTATGGAACATCGAGGACAATCAATACGCCAAATGTAAGCGAGTGATACAAGCCATTGAATTTATCATTAATAATTAAAGCGATGTATAACACTGTACTGTTTTTTGTTAGTACCAAATGTCAGTTTCCGCGTGTACGCGCCAGGATTCCTTGATAGATTTCTGGAATCGCATGCCGTGATGTTGCAAGGCAATTCGGATCTAAAAGTAAAGGAAGGAGAGGTGTCCTCACGACCGTGGCAGTGGCCTATAAATTATAGAGTAAATTAATTTATATACTATTATTTGCTAATACAATCGTCATTTTGAAGGCAAATCTTGAAAAAAAAAATCCCTTTTCTTTGTAGGGGCAATTCTTTTCCGGGAACAATCAAAGGATATATCTACTCGGCAATCCTATCATTTGGTGGGGGAACATAGTCTTTCTTGTAATATTTATAGTTCTTTACGTCCACGCTTCCGTGCGTGAGCAACGGGGCTGTATCGACGATGCTATCATGTTCAAACAGCGGAGCAAAATAACGCATGCTGGCAAGTGGCTTTTCCTCGGATGGATCTTGCATTATGCACCTTTTTGGGCGATGACCAGGGTACTGTACTTTCACCATTATTTCCCGGCGTTACTGTACAGTTCCATGCTGACCGGGATTACATTGAATCACGTCATTGAGAGCTTCCTGCTGCTGTTACCCGGCAAAGTGGGAAATATGTTTTATCATGTCATGTTAGGAATTGTAATCTCCGGTACTGTTTACAGGTAAAGGTTGCCTTTCATTCAATTCTAATTTCACAATGAAATAATGTTTAATACATATTTTTAAAAATTAGAACTCTTTCGAATTTTTATAGAAATTTTTAAGAAATGATATCGAGAGATTAATTTGATCAAATTTTATATTTTTAATTTAAATTACAGCTTTTATCTGTTCTCGCCATTGGCTTATGGAATGGACGGTCCGTCTGCCATGGATCCCGACAGCTCGATGCATTCTTTAAGATGGATGGAATCTTGGGAATTTTAAAATCTGACTTAAACACAACGCAAAGTATTTTATACATATACTTGTTTTACTGTGCAATTAATGACAGAGTATATTTTATACTATTTTATACTGTATGTGTATACACAACTAACATTGTATGTATATAAGAATATTAACTTAAATCGTTGACAATGACTGAGATATTGGAAATGCTTATCTTATTTATATTATTTATAT